GGGGGTGCAGACAATAATCATTCATGCACTTAGGACGGCTCAAAGTGTCATCCAAGACCCGAGATCCAACACATCAAACAAAAAACAAACAGCAAATAACAAGCAAACAAGAAAACCCCCCCACAATAACAAACACACAACATACAACACACAACACACAACAAACAACAAACAAACAACACACAATAAACAACACACAACAAACAAAACAACACACAACAAGCAAACAACACACAAGACACAACAAGCAAACAACACACAACAAACAAACAACACACAACAAACAAATAACACACAACACACAACAAACAACACACAACACACAACAAACAAAACAACACACAACAAGCAAACAACACACAAGACACAACAAGCAAACAACACACAACAAACAAACAACACACAACAAACAAATAACACACAACACACAACAAACAACACACAACACACAACAAACAAAACAACACACAACAAGCAAACAACACACAAGACACAACAAGCAAACAACACACAGCAAACAAACAACACACAACAAACAAATAACACACAACACACAACACACAACAAACAACACACAACACACAACAAACAAACAACATACAACAAACAAACAACACACAACAAGCACACAACAAACAACACACAACAACAACACACAACAAACAACACACAACACACAAACAACACACAACACAAAACAAACAAACAACACACAACCCATAACACACAGCACACAACACACAACAAACAACACACAACAAGCAAACAACACACAACACACAACACACTACAAACAAACAAACAACACACAACACACAACAAACAAACAACACACAACACACAACAAGCAAACAACACACAACACACAACACACAGCACACAACCCACAACAAACAACACACAACACACAACACACAAACAACCCACAACCCATAACATAAAAACAAACAACATATTTCCAGAGCATGGAACGTTACAGCATGCGCAATGCGCACTGTTCAAAGTACTCATTTATTCTCAGAAAACATTGCAAATTGTTAAAAGTTATATCACAACACTTTGTATCAAACGTATCACATATTTCTGCATCTTTTCCACAACAGAGAGAAATAAAAGGGGGGTAAAATCGGGATCAAAAGCAAAAGGTTTGGCATATTATACAGGCCTATGAGGCCCTCAGCAGGATTAAATGGTACATCTCATAAAATGAATAGCAAATTGATGCATGTTTTTTAAGCGAACATCTATTAACCAAATGTCACACACCCAGACGCGTATACATGAATTTACACAATGTTAACACTTCCTAGTTGGAAATAAAAAAAAATCTTTCACACTAACCAAAATTATTTTACCCCCCCCCCCCAAAAAAAAAAAAAAATAAAAAAAATAAAGGGGTCTTGAGACAGCAGAGAACAAAAGTACTAGCAAGTAAAACGGTACGTGTTTCAAAGTCTATCGGGGGTAAAAGAACCATAGAATATTTGGATACAGGTACAGTATTTCAACTGGCATTATGGATACAGCATTTCAACTGGCATTTCATTATGGATACAGTATTTCAACTGGCAATATGACCGAATAACGATGGAATGAATGCCCAAGTTAATACATGTCGTTTTATTTACAACCTATGTAGCAGACAGACAGTGAGAGGCATGGGAGAAGAGATGTACTGATATAAAAATGTACATATTATTTCAAATTATTAGGCATTTTAAAAATAGTTTTAGTAGAGGTTTTACAGCACTTGCAACACAAAAAGGTAATATAAGTGCCAAAGATAAGAGGTGTTACAAGAGAGTAACAAACACAAAAAAAAGGAGGAGAGATGAGGACGATAGATGTTTGATAAGAAAGAAGAAGCAAACCACACCAGAGCCCCCGCCAACCACCCACTATTATGCATTAGAGGATAAAACAGCTATTACATGTATTGATGCAAGTTGATCTGGAATTATAACCCAATAATGATAAAGTGAGTGCCGAATTTAATACGTACTGTTTTCAATAATACGTGGCAAGCAGACAGGTGCGCAAAATCCGGACAATTTCTGAAATTTGGATTTCCGGATTTATCCGGAAAATCGGGACCTCCGAACAGCGAAGTACTTTCGCGTCATAGAATGATAGATTGTCGGATCTTCCTTGTCTGAAGAACTGTCAAGGGAGGTCATTGCAGCTTCAGTTTTTTAAAAGTTTTAGTTAATGTTTTACGGCACTTGCAACACAATTAGGTTATTTTAGTGCTGATGATTAGAACCGTTACTAGGGTGTAATATACAACCCCCCCCCCAACAAAACAAAACAAAAACAAAAACAAAAAAAGGAAAAAAGATAAGGACAGCAGATCTGATGTTTAATTGGAAAGAAGGGACAAACCACACCAGAGCACCCGCCAACCACCTAGACTGCTGCTTTTATGGACATAAAAATTACCTTCTAAAAAATGTTGTTCCAGTATTAAAAATGTAGATCGCGCTGCACCAAACTTGAAGTTGAAGTAAAATTGACAAGAGTGTGCTTTTGGATTTTGACCTAGCATTTTAAAGGTAGTTTTGTGCAAACCTTTGTGAAAAGATATCGCAAAGAATTTTACACCAAGGTCTCTAAACATTTAATGATAAATAAATTTAAGAAAAATACGGCAAGATACATGTAAGATATAAATATTGAAAAATGATATTATACATACATACATACATACATAATATATTGTATATATGTATACATATATACATAAACATATACATATATGTAATATATTTATATATATATATATACATATATTATATATATATATATATATATATATATATATATATATATATATATATATATATATATATATATATATATCTGCACATATACTATTTATGTTCTGAATATTGATAGATAATGATCTTAATGACGCCATGCTATAAATACTGTCACAACAATGTAATATCACAGAGATGGAAAGTGTTTAAAAAACCATGAGACAAAACTCCAACAAATAAATACATTGTAATCATTTCCCTATTCCAGGAAAAAAAACAACCTCGCAACAAAACAAACCCCCCGCCAAAAACCCCCCACAAAAAAACAAACAAAAATTAAATAAAAAGGAATTCCCAACATGTCACATGAAATATTTGCACATAGTGCTACAATAATGTTGCATATTTGTCATTGAGCAACAACGTTCACAATAATAAAAAACAAAACAAAAAAACAACAACAACAACAACAAGAAACAAAAGAGCAAATACTGTCAGTTTGGATTGCACCCGTGTACAGGTTATGCATGAGCAGCTTCCATCAGGTGTGGTAATCACATGCTGACGTCATTTGTATAGGAAGACATTAACTCTGTGAGAACGCAGAGGACATTAATGTGTTTTTGTTTTAGTAGAGGTTTTGCAGCGCTCACACTGCATAAGGTCAAAAGAGCGTCAATGGGTGGATGTCAACACATACTTACTATAGATTAACCCCCCCCCCCCACCTCGAAATTCCCTTAATAACAAGTTCGCATAAAAGCATGCCTTTCTTGTCACCGAGGTGCTTACTGGTAGCCCGAGACCACTGTAGTACATGTATTACTTTTTATTATGTCGAGCTCCCCCATCTGTGTTGATGCAGAACATTTGTTAAGTTAATGTTCCCGGATTATATCCACCTGAAATGTCCCCCAATGATCAAGAAAGTTTATTTTATCTTATCTTATCCTCCGGTCTTCCGCCCAGCCCCATTACTCTCTCTCTCTCTCTCTCCCTCTCCCTCTCTCTCTCTCTCTCTCTCTCTCTCTCTCTCTCCCCTCTCTCTCTCTCTCTCTCTCCCTCTCTCTCTCAACTCTCGTATCATCACCAAAGGCTAAAGTAAAGTCTTTATTCGCTTGGGTAAAAAAGAAGCACATCGACAGAATAACGGCCATTTAATACACCAAAAAGTACGATAGACGCAGAGAGACAGAAACTACAGAAGGAAAGAAAAGAAGCAGGACACATCAATGACACCCTCCAACAACCTAACTGAAGCATTTTCAAAGCACAATAGAAATGAAAATATACCACAAGAGGGTAAACATAAAACATCAGTATCGTCAGACCCTTTCAAAGTGCATTCCACGTGCATGGCAGAACGAAATGACTGAGAAATCTCTAGATCTAGTAAATAATAAGGACCATCGAAAGATATGTCCCATATAATTCTCGCATTGCGAAAGCCAAAGACCAGTCTTTAAGTTGTTGCTTCCACGTTCTGTTAGAAAGTTGTAAACCTATACTTTCACGAGGTGAAACATGAGATGATTTGGAGGGGTGAGTCACCAAGAAGAGGGTAGAACTTTGTTCGGAAAAGATTAGATCTAGAAAAACTAACTGGAGAGTAAGGATGAAGGAAGAGGGTGAAAAAAGAGGTCCGATATTTATCCCAGATTATGCTGTGTAGAAGAAGAGAAGAACGAGCACCAGTGACTATATTCTTCAGGCCAGTGGGTGTTTTTTTTTTTTTTTTTTTACAGTAGAGGGTTTTACGGCGCTCGCAACTGCATAAGGTCATATGAGCACCAAGGGGTGGGTGTCAACAGAGAAGTCTTTACAGGGAATCAGACTTAGACTGCTCACCTCTCTAGCTTCAACAGCACAAGGTCTGCTTCGACTATCAAGGCACCCCAAAATAGCAGGTCACAAGGGAGTGACAAACATACAAAAGAAGTAGAGTAAAATGACAATAGTAAAGATCAGGAAAGAAAAAGCAGCAGTTCCCTGTTGTAGATCAGGCGTGACATGAGTCAGCCCATTTACAATTCTACTATGCTTGAACGAGATATGTCCCCCCTTTTGGGAATGGCCTAAAGACACTTCAGTCAGTGGCACTGCCCCGGAGGGTTCAGGCCAGTGTGCTAGTCCACAGTTCACATAGAGGTAATAAGGTGCATGGTTAGAGAAAGACCACACTGACTCTATTAGTAACTAAGTAAACCTACACCGTGTTGCGACAAAACTAGAACAACAACAGCAACAATAAAACCAAAACCAAAAACAAACTTTGTTAAAAGATTTAAAATACCCAAGCCAACAACATTATTAGGTAAACATAATGAACAAACTAAGGACACATAAGATAATCCAGCTGTTGACTTGCAGCAGAAAAAGCAACTAACTACTATCAACTCGACTATCTCTTTAAAAAATCCTGTCTCCTGATATTTGGAAAAGCTGCCACTTTCATACTACATGTAAATCTATTATCTTTCTACTTCAGAAGCAATAATAACAAATTATGTAATCTTTCTCACATATAATTTAGAATCACAGGTATATTCATGGCAATAGCCCCCAGTGCAGAACCTATATCTTCTGCCATGTTTATTGCATCGCGTGTTTTCAAAAACTTTGGTTAAAGATACATCTTTTATTTTAGCTTAAAAATACCGTAAAATAAAACGTGCCTTAAAAACATAATGATTTGAAGAGCGGACAGACAATGCTGAAAACAGCCCAAACAACCATCAGCCAACAAAAGAACGTTTTCTTCTGTTATTTACACAATCTTACAAATTACCAGAATCCCAAAAACTACCGCATTCTCTCTTTTTGTTATATACAACGTGCGTCGCAAACTCAAGTCACAAAGAAATGCACTCAGCAATGTTCATGAAAGTAGACAATGGTGTTGTTTTGCCTCTTAAATAATAGCCTTGATTAGGCTACAATATAAAAAGAAAATAAACAAACCAAAAAGAACAAAAAAACCAAAACCAAAACAACTAACCCAAAACGAACATCACCCCCCCCCCCCAACGTCACAAGGGAGGACATACTATTTTTACTTCCCACTTTGAAGATGGCATTTTCCATCCCAAGACAGAGAGCAGAGCTATACTGAAGTGAAATAAAGTTCAACAGTCAGATTCAACAAAGACTTTGAACAAACCAGAATTCAATGTAACGATGGTAATTTGAAAGTGAAAAATGACCATCACAAAAAAACTCAAGTAACGTACTATTGGGCAAACGTACTATTGGGCAATTGCAGCAGATTGGATTTTTCAACAGATGTCACTTGTTTTATTGGTTTTGCCAACACAGGGTACACACACAAAGAACTAGAGTCTAACACAGCCATGGGATGTCTTCAGAATGGCACGTTAACATTGGAAACTGGCTAGATTGCAACATGTGTTAAACGATAAAATGTTCACTTTTAAAGCGACGCATGGTGATTGATTGGGTTACGTTGAATATTGCTTTAAAGAAATAGAAGCTATATAATATATTGTATGTGCGTGCGCACGTGTGTGTGTGTGTGTGTGTGTGTGTGTGTGTGTGTGTGTGTGTGTGTGTGTGTGTTTGTGTGTGTGTGTGTGTGGACATTTTGGTGAGTGTGTGACTTTCAAAGTGATCTGATAATGATATTTCACAGGGGAAAAAAATGACGTCAATGCATTAAGGAACATTCTTAAATATATCTTTTCTTCTGGCATTTCTGTTTGATTTTGAAAGTACAAAAACACCAGGGGACGTTGACAACAGACACACATTGGTGATGCTGGATTATCATGATGAAGCGGAAACATTAGCTGACTTATCGTCAGAAAGTACTGAGACGGATGTGGGAAAACAATCAGCCATTTTCTCCCGGTGAAAGATGCCAGTGTTTTTCTCATTTCCCCCCGAGTGCATAGAAATTATGGAAACTGCCAAAGTCTTTCCTATATGGCAAGCAGTTTACCACCAGTTGTGCATATTATTATAAAGATGAAGCCTAAAGGTCAAAACTTTTCCACCCCCACCCCGCCTCATCTCGGCTGCTTCAGTTTCAAACGACGCTGCGCCACCACGGACAACGGGCTGAACCAGCTCTGGCTCTCCTGATAGGCCAACGTGGGCCACATCTTGACCAATGAGCTCGGAGCGCTCTTCTGCGAGATGGTGTTCTTCACGCGGTTGGTGCACGTGCTTCCCTGAAGGCCGCGGCCGCTGATGAACTTTGTCGTGTGCTGCTGCTGATGGTGGTGGTGGTGGTGCTGGAAGTGAGGGTGTAAGGGGCTGTACTGCTGGTGGTGCTGTTGTTGTTGTTGTTGGTGGTGGTGGTGGCCGGAGGTGAGTGCCTGCCAGTCGCCGCTCGTGTACACGTTGTTGTTGTGGTGGTGGTGGTTGTTGGGGTGGTTGTGGTGGTGGTTGTTGCTCACGCGCTGCACGAACACGCTGGGCTTGTTGCTACTGCTGCTGCCGCTGCTGACGTTCGCGTTGTGGTACTGCTGCTGCTGGTACAGCTGGTGCTCCTTGGGGTTGAAGACGTTGTCCGGCGGGTGGTAGCTCAGGGTCCCCGTGGACTTCCTCAAAAGGCGAGCGTCTTTCCGGGCCTGTGGGTCCATCGCCACCATCGCTGCCGCCGCCGCTGCCGCGCGCTTCGGCGGAGAGGACGAGTAGGAATCTTCCGCGCTCAGAACGGAGCCAGGTCGGTCTGGGGTGGTCGAGGAGGAGAGGGGCAGCTCTTGTCTCGGTGTGCCGCCTTTCGAGTCGCTGTCCCGCTCGTAGAGAGCCTGGTGGCTGGGCGTCACAGAGATGGCGTTGCGGCCTTTCCTCACGGAGACTTTCTTCCGGATCGATTTTTTGGCTTTGGTCGGGGGGAGCAGCTTTTTGCTGGTGTTCACTGGCGTCAGGTCGGTCCCTACCGGCTGGGGGAAATGAAGGTTGGTAACTAGCACGGAGTCCTGCTGGCAGCGGCAGTTGGGATCCGCGGAATCCAAATGGAGATTGCCTCCTCTGCCACACCAGGGGCACGTTTTCATCCAGGACTTGTTGGTGGGCGCCACAGAGGTCCCGGTGCCACCTGTGACATGGGG